TATTATCCATGCATCAAGAATAATTTTCTATATTATCAGCCAGTTAACTGAAATGAACAGTTTTACAGAACAATGCCTTAATTTTTTTTCCTAAATTATCTAAAATATAGCACAAGTTTCCTAAGGCACATTTCTATACACAAACTACACACAGCATATTTATTTAAGGCAAAAATTTTTACTTCTAAATTCTGTAATGACTAGGGTTGTTTCCTGTATCTGCTTGGAKTCTTCTGCTAAAGATGCTGAGGGAAACATGGCATACTAAACCTACTAATCGTACAAAATCTATGAACTGGACAAGAATTTTTCCTCTCTCAGGAAAGTTAAGACTTTTTAAAATAACATTTTGGCCTGATSGAGCACTAGAATTTGCAGACAACCTCAGAAAAGAGTTGTGGTTTGGTTGGGGTTTTTCACTATATAGCTAGTCTACTGAGAAGCCATGGGAAAAGCTTGATTTCTTTCCTCCAAAAATGTTAGACTGTATTTTGAATTATAGTAGTATCAAAATAGGTTTTAAACAAGTTTGCTGGAATAAATCTTTCCTGAGAATAATTTCTATTTTGATCAATTACAGCAACTGTCCTTGAAAGCTGCTTTGTAGAACACCTCCTAATCTGTGCTTGTCATTCTMAGTATTCTCACAGCACACTATGTCTGATTGTGGTTTTCTGGAGTAATTTAGTCTTAAGTTCTGTTATTTTTTCTCCAGGAAACCATACTGAAAATGTCAGCAAAGGGACCAAAGCGTCCTTTGTCAGATGGACAACACAGCTGTAGGGAAGTGAAGCTATGGCAGCTTTCCACAAGAAARACGTACAAAATATGAATTTACTGTTGAACAAAATAAAGAAAACCTGAAAACTCAGACTTACCAATAAGATCACTTCTATCCAAAAGTAATTCTAGATCTTTATCACTGATTACTTTTTCTTTAGATCCTTTAACCTCCCTGTTAAAGAAGAAATAATCTCTCAATAAAGCGTGTCAATATGCACAGAACATAGCAGAATCCCTAGGACTTCTTTCTACTGTGAAGATCCACATACCACTTCATMAGATACTTCATAAGAGCTCTTGACAGCTGCTTGCAAGTTACATACTCATAGTCCAAGAAAACATGAAATCTGCATACCTCTCATAGTCTCTGGATTTCAGTAATTCTAGTAATTCCTGAGGGTCCAGGCAGCTCTTTGACTGTGCTAGGCCCGATTTTCCACCTTTAAACTGATCTGTAGAAAGAGAAAATTTTAAGAAAGCAGAGACTAGAACAAATTACTCTTGARTATCAGAACCAATGCTATGTTTCATTGTTTTAACCCTGAGATAAACACACCTTACATTGACAGTGAAACTCAGAAGTACATGAAAGTTTGCATGCAGGCCTTTCATTTTCTAAAATGTGTATGTATGTAGATATATATGTAGTATGCAGAAGAACTGMTTGAAACACCAATTCAACATGCACACACGCACACACAGAGGAAAAAAGCCATTAGTTCTACTTACAGTAAAAACACAGTAAATAAAGTTAGATGGTGGATGCTGAAGTTTGTTCCCTTTGTATTGCAAGCTGGTTAAAACAAAGTAGTATTAACCACGAGACATAAATATGTGAAAGATACGTGGTTTGCAGAGAGAACAACTTCAGTTTAATGAAATAGACAGACTGACAAAAATAGTACCGGATACAAGCTGTTTTCTTGGGACTATTTACAGCAAATCTGGATGTCAGTCCAAATATGAAAAACATTATACAAGATTATTACCTTACTAAAGCTGAGCATGGATGAARTCAAGCTCAGTCTTGAACATTTCAAGGAGACAGGC